ATGTTAGGTGATATGTTTAGCATTTTAACCCTCTCCCAAGTTCACCATACAAAGAGGTGATTTGGCAGTAAGCAGGTTTAAGGGGGCAGGATCTCTGACAGAGGGGCAATAATGCTTAAATAGAGTCAGAGGATTTTGGAGTGTCCTAAAGAACATCTGTTATTGGTAGTATAAATCTTTTAATTAAAACACTTTAACCTTCCAACCCCTTAGCTCTCAAACACTTACTCTGCTTTCTGAGATCAGGAGGGTGGGTCCCTGTTCTGAAGAGGTAGAAATTTGCATCTGAAAGGAGAGGTGCCATCTGTAGGAGACTAATTTTATGGGCAAGGAAGGTTGCCTGCTTGGTTACTTCTTTCTGCATCAATTATACTTGCAAAGCAAAATTAATAACCCTAAACCAGAAGGTGCCTTATTGGAGCCAAATACAACATTATTATTGCTTCTGATGCTTTATAAAAATGTTTGTTAATACATCCTAAGATGATGTCTCTTCCTTTTTGTTGCAGAAAACATATTGTTGACTCATCTTGAGTGTACTGTAGCTATGCTGTATTACGGCCTTTGTGGTGATGCAGAGTATGCATGCAGTAACGTCAGAAATTTCTGATTCAGCCCACAGCATGCTTAAGGGGCTTGTTTTCCACTTTTATTAAATACCAGGATCTTAAGATGTCCTGAAAGCACTTAGGGCCTTCAGAGGATGTATAGCATACAAATTCAGAGTGTGGTGTTCTGCGTGTTAGGAATTTGTATGTTAATAGATAGAGAAAAAAAACACGGCTTTACTCTCTGTATGAACCATCCTCTTTCTCAATTATGAAAGTAGAATGCTTAAATGGAAAGTACACTGCTTGTACTTTAATGTTGGGTTTTTTCTTGTTTTCTATGATTTATTTCAGTATTCTCTGATGCATGTATTTCAGATGGACTACATTTTAAAAAGTGAAAGATTGACTGGATAACTTTAAAGTTTAACCAAGGTTAAAACACCTTGAATCTTTTACTAGGTATTTAATGTCCTTCATAAGTGTTAGTTTCTAACATTCAAAAAAAATTACCAAAAGGCAGTATGTGTTCAAACACAAACCCACATCTAAATCTATATGCTCACTGTATCACTCTTTATGTACTGTCCTACCTTTGTATAAGATACTTTATATTGCAGCCATGCCTGAAGGCCTGCTATTACGCATTACCTACAAAAATATTTCAGGTGGTGCTGTAGTTGGCAGAGTTGCAGCTGTCAGGGGAAAAACACTTGATACATTTAGCGTGAATAAGGTCTTGATCTTTGTTTAACATGGAGGAGGATGTCAAAATCCTGCTTGTCCTTTGGGCAGTGCAGCAGCAGGCAGTGGTTGGCCTGTACGAGAGCTGAATGGTCTGTGCTCTTGCAGTGGCCAGCTGGTGAAAACATGGATGCAGTCTTGGTAGGTAGTCAGATGCTCAGCGCGTCAACCTCTTGACAAGAAAGTGTGGGTCCCTACTGCCCTGACAGCCAGACTGTATGCCCTCCTTGGCTGCTTTGCCACTGCTTTCTGATCTTAAATGGGTCAAGCTTGGTGTTTACAGGTGAAGGGATTAAAAAGTGGTATAAACTAGGAGGAACTGCAATGAGGAAGAGACAAAGATGAATGGGTGTGCTTGGCTGGGGTGATCGGTGGGTGTTACAAGAAATAGGGGGAGAGAGGTAGTGAATTACATGGGAAGGGGAAATATTACAGTAAAAAAGATCTGATAAATAATTAATGGCCAACCTGGTCATTTTTGTTGATCATATTTGTGTTAGAGGGTTTCATGGCAGAAAGCCACAGAAAACATGTATTTTTTGTAAATAAATATGATGGTCATTAGAATAAGCAGTTAATGATAAGTATTTGACTCTAATGACATTTTTCTTGGGATTTCAGAATATCACTTGTTGATTCTGTATTTTAACAGTTGACAACGTAGCAGAACTCTGTACTTCTCACAGAAGTAAAATTACGCTCTGCCCTGTATATAAAGGGGTGTGAGTGTTTGTGTGTGTGCACGTGCAGTCAATTTATCACTTTAGGCATGGTTTATCAGCAAAATTGCTGCTTCTGTGTTGCTGCTTCTTGGCAAATTCCAGCTCCCTTAAAGACGTTCTAGATGCATGAGGGGAGTAGGAATCAAGAATGCCATCTCTTCATCCATTTCCTCTATACTGTTTTTAGTGGAAACTACAAAATTCATTAATGTTTAGTTTGTGAATGATTAAGAGTGTCAGTGAGAGAAATTGACCAACACACCATGTCTGTTTTCCATTAAGATGAAGGCTACAGTCCTCAGGGGATTGTGCCAGAAAAGTGGAAGGAGCATTTGGCAATGAAAGGACTGGTGTTAACAACTGCTGCTCCTTGGTCAGAGTCAAACTGCTAAACGGCATTTCTCCTGTAACAGTGGTTGCTGTCCATGAATCAGTTATGGCTCAGTCTTCATGGAAAACAGCCCACTGGCAGGTAAGCTATTCCTGAGTCATGCAGAGTGGGAAGATGTGTGCTCCTTGTCTGGTGCTAATGGCGGAAAGGAATGTACAGCCTCCTTGGTATCTTTTATCACCTTTTGCCACTTCTATGCGTCCTTTTGCACTGTCTTGAGTTAAATTCCATCCTTACTTAAGAGACTGTTCATAAAAGAGACATCTGAGAAGTCATGATGGGACCATGTATTATATTATAGCCAGTGAGATACTGTTAGTTTAGTCTCCTTTGCGGGAGTAGTATTACATAAGCTAAAAATACATGGATGTGTATATTGCACTCAATAAAATCTTATATTTCAAGCTGTACTAGTTGGTTTGCATCCACCTGCAAGCCTGGTTTTTGCCTTATCCCCTTATGCTCTTACAGGTACAACAGTGCTAACAGTATATCAAATCTATGTGTTTGAGACAAGTGAAATACACCACATGCCTGCTTTTACCAATCAGTCATAATCTAGCTGAAGCTACAAATTGGTGAGATGCTAGTGCCTTAAGTAATAAAAACCTTGCATTTTTTGTTTTAATTGTAACACTGTACTTCCTATATTCATTTTCTTCATAGACTTGACTTTGCCCAAGTTGTACTTGCTAAATAAATAATTCATGACCTATAGTCTACAGGTAATGCAGAAAAAATTTGGCTTGGTTCCCTTCTGGTTTAGGCTAGATGAGGTAGAAAATTAAATGTAAATAATGTGTTACTTTTCTGATTATTTTTTTTCTGTCGTGCATGTTTTGATATATTAAAATGCATTATCCTTTTAGGAAGCTGCTCTAGGAAAACTTCCAGGAATTCACATGACAGTTGGGCGTTGCGCGCTATGCAAGCTGCCTGAAGCCAGGGATCACAAGAAGTTACATGAATATGAAAAATTTCCAAATTCCACGTAGCATTTCAAATTAAGAGTTCCCAGGTGTTTTACTCTTCTGTTCTGTTGCTCTTGGAGGAGCTAGGTGCTTTAAAGAGTTTCTCTTCATGGTACCAAAGTTGACCTCTGCTTCTATTGTTTAATAGCTTTTTCAGCTTTATACAACATCTAACCTTAAGTCTCTTTTCAGTTCTTCGGCTTTGTGAATCTTAAAACCACAGGAGATTCCACACCTTCTGTTTTTAAGGTTTATGTTGTGCTTTTGGTATTTGGGGTGCATATTTCAAATTCCTGTAAAACTGTATATTATTTGAGAAGTGGCAAGATAACTGAGTGACATAGACCTTTAAAAGTTCTGTATTTTGAAGTAATTTTAGCTAGAAGCTTTCTTGGGAATAGTCTTGCAGTTTCAAAGCAAGTTTAGGAATTCCTTTTTCACCTTTGTTTGCCATGGCAACAAACTATATGTGGTTTAAGGGAGACCATCCATCTTGTAAAATACTCTGGTTCTCCTGCCTTGTATAGTTGCTTCCACTGTCTTTGGTTTTGGTTTCCTTGGCTCTAAAGAATGTTACGTGTTTATTGATTGCAGCTTAAAAAAATTATGTAAAACCTGTTGTAAATAGGAGGAAAGTATTGCTGGCTAGATGGGAACAGTAGTCTTTGATACTGGCTAATTTTGTTTGGTTGTGAGCTGTTTGGTTTTTTTTTATTTTAACTCTGTGTATATCCTACTAATGAGTGGAAATGTTCATTTCCCCCCTGCCAAAGGCATAGGATCTAACGCCATGTATTTCTGCAAGAAGTATGACATGACACAATAGGAGCGGATTTGTAGAGCATAACTGTTCGTGCTGAGGACCTGATATCCACACTATATGTATTTGGGCTAGCCATAATCTGGTCCCATGGACTGAATGTTGACTGCTTGTTTAAGTGCACTGGTTTTGTGCCTGGAGCACACTTTAAAGGTTATAGTTTCATCTGAAAGAATCAAGTTTGCTCACTGTACTATGCAGTGTGAGTTACAGAGGACTGTCAAGCAGGCTTCTGATCCAAACTAAAACATTAACACTGACACACCCTACATCTATTACCATTTAACCTACTGAGCCATGGATCTTTTGATGTAAACTGAAATTGCTCTTACTTTAAGTGCTGAAAGTGTGCAGTTCGGATGGCTATGTCAGCCAAGATGATAACCACCACATACAAACAAGTTTTTTAGTATAAAATCCAAACTAATGACAGCTCATTAGTGGCTCTAGCTTAAAATGTCTCTAGCTTAAAGGGACAAAATAAGACACTTCAATTGCTTGTTTGTAGTAGTTAAGACTTTTTAGCTGCTAACAATGTTTGACTAATTTCCTTAGGAGTAAAAGTTTTGAAATAGTGATGGTTTTTGTTGGCTTAAGGCATTTCTGTCTAACATGTAAACTGTGTACAATAAGGGGGCACTAAATTTCTTTATAAAACTCACTACAGAGTTGTCCATAGCAACATAAGTAATTGCAGAATTATAAATTACTAGAGCTAAAAGTAAAGAACAAAACTATTATGCTAAAAGTGTACTTGGATCTGGTTTTATGCTAACCTTTGGAAACCTTTTCTGATGGTTGCAGGTGGCACTTGATATTTCAGTATGGACCGGTTTGAAGATGTATCAGATGGTGAAGTGGATCATGCTTTCTTTGACAGTGATTTTGAGGAAGAGAAAAAGAAAGCTGAAGAAGATGGTGAATGTATGGAGCAAGGAAGTACAAAGGCAGCTTTTGCACACCCTGATTTGGTTTCTAATTCAAAGGATGCAAAGTGTGAGCAGGAAAGTGAAGAAAAGCAGAAAGATTTGCAGAAGGATCAGTCCCTAGAAAATAGCACAGATCATCTTGGAGATGCTTCATCTTTGTCACTTTCTCCAGTTGTGGAGAATGCAGGTACATCTGGAGTGACATCTGCAGCAAGTAGAGGAACACAGGAGAATGTTTCTGCTGGAATCCCAAAAATAGTTAAAGAAGGTGAAGAAGATTATTACACAGATGAAGAAGATAGTAGTGACGATGGCAAAAAACAGAAGGTTAGACCAAAGTCAGCTAAGCAGTCAAACAACATAAAAAAGGCTAGCAAAAAATATACTAATATCAGCTCCTCCTCTTCTTCTTCCTCTTCCTCCTCCTCCTCCTCCTCATCCTCAAGCTCAGATACAGAATGTTCTGATACAGATTCCGATAGCTGTTTATCAGATTCATCTCATTCTTCTTCAAAGAGGAATGCTTGTAGGAATGCTCTTCTGTCTCCAAAACAAAAATTCAAGTCAGCAATGAAATTAGCAGAAGGAAAACCAAAGCTTGGTGACTACTTGGAGGAGTCTGAAGATACAGTGACTGACGTAACACCTCTGTCAACTCCAGACATCAGTCCTATCCAGTCTTTTGAACTAGCAGCGTCAAATGATAAGAAACTAAAAATCAAAAGACAGGAAAATGTGAACCAAGAATTATATGGTAATTTTGAAGAATTTAAGTACAACACAAAATTTGTAAAACCTATGGGGCTGGGAAATCCAATCTTATATCTGTATTTCTTTCATTAGATTCTGAGTTTGATCGCAGATATACTCGAAAAGTCTTGCATGATGCCATGGACCTGAATCAGCTTTTGAAAGGTGATTTTTAAATTTCCTTTTTTACAAAATATGACATCTGTACATTGTTGAGAACAATTGAGTTCTGATAGAAGAGAATGAGGTTTTAATATGCCACATGTATTTTTAAAACTGGTTTGTGATTAAGCTTTGTTGATGTAATTCTTCAAATTCTTATGTGCGTAAATAGTACTGATTCTACAGTGGAAAGAAGAAGCATGTGTATGAGCATGTGTTGGCATGCATATACCTAGAAGTAAGATATACAGACAGGGTGAATCTCTAAGATTTGATATATTAACAAATTGAATAATTAAACTGCACATGCATTTTGAGAAATCAAGGCTTACAGGACTGCCACAATTTACTATTTAAATTAAAACACCAACCTTTCTGATAAAATGCTGGGTTATCAACCTTCAAAATTGAAAGGCAGTCCAAAATACATTGCATGATAAATAGTATTCATATATTTAACTGGTACCTTTTTGATAATGAAATGGAATTATTTGAAATTCTTCTGAACTAAGTGTCTGCCTTCTAAAATACCATAAAGTTGAGTAAAGGTATTTTAAAGAGAAAAATAACAGGTAGTCTTTACTAAAACTTGAGGGGTTGCTTCTTGCCAATAGATTTAATAAATCTTAATGAAGTGTAAGAGAGAGAACTTGGTATCTCTTTCACTGCGTTCATTGCAAACCTTCGTTGTATGGGGTGAGAATGCACTCGATGATCTCATGTGCATATTTTAAGGCCTACACAGTGCTTTTGTGCTTCTTTTCATGGCCTGGAGTTTTCAGTAGTAAAATCTATCAAATAAAAGAGCCTTGGCTCAAGAAATCTGCTGATCTCAGGTGAGGAAAGCCTCTAAGTCTGGTACATTTCAACCCAAGTTTGCTGTATCGCCATAGGTCCGGCATGATTAAAACTGCATGTGTTGTCTTTCTTCACTTTGCACCTTGTCAGACTGAGCCTCTAGTGAGTAAGGATTCAAAATATATTGTATGCATCATTTAACTTTCTTATGAGTAGAAATGAGGATTTTACTTGTGTAGAAATTCTTCTGATGGTAAGAAAAGCAGAGCTAGCCACCAAGAAGGGTAGAGCTGATTCTGAACTCTGACAGTCCTTGTGCTCCCAGCAACTCTTTCGTACTAGAAAAGGCTCCAACCACTTGTCAAAACATGATGTTAGAACAGTTGTTGCTAGGCAATTGAAATTATGATGTCCTACGTCTTTATTTGTTCCCTGATAGCAAGAAGCTATTTAATAACTGGTGATAATGGAAGGATTCATCTCATCTCTAAACCAAATGGGTATTATAGCTCAGACTAAGTATTCTCAGAGATGAATCTGTGTTTGGAGGCAGGGGCGGAGTTTTTTCCCAAAACTGAAAAACAATTCTAAATAACAATAAGAAAGATTGAGTAATGAGAAGAAGAATTCATATAGTCTGGTAGCTAATGTTCCTGATTAACATGCATATTACTCCCAAGTGCCTCTCTATATTGGCAAGCACAACATAGCTTAATTACTTTGGGTATTTCAAAGTTTAAATAGGGCAGGATTATTAATGGTGGAAAGTAACCAGTCTGGGAAAATAGGAGCTAATCTTATTCTGAGTTATTGCTTCCAGGTTTTTCTGTACTCATTAAAAAAAAAAAAAAAAAAAGTGCAAATCATTCCCCCCCACAGTCTGCATTAAATGTTCATCAGAACTGCATAGGCATGAACATTGCTTCAAGTAAGAACAGCATAAGCCCAGACCTGAGTGCATGAAAGAGTATTTAAATGATCATCACGATGTCTCAGATTTGGTTTTACAGTATAATATTCTTCCAGTAATCTATACTGATGAAACATTTCACTTAAAATTTTTGTCAAATATGCTTGTAATGTAGCTGGGCCTAAGCATTTACAGCAGTTATGTGAGTTCAGTTTCCCAAGGTCCACAGAAACTTGCAGAATTTCAGTGTGATCTGTTACTGTGTTGTTTCTAGGGGGTGTGCAGTAACTTATTTTGTACAATTCTGTGCACTGGTAATGTGAACATTTGGGAAGACTACAATCTCTTGTATTAAAAAAAGAATCACAAGAACAAAGGGAAGAAATCTGTTAAAAGCACATGGTATTCAAAGAACAGGTTTTGGACTAGAACAAGAGTCTGGTTATTAAGCAGCGAGGTAGTTTGTGTATCTTTAAAATAGAATTCATTTGAAGCATTTAGAAAAAATGTTGCAGTTAAATTTAAAAGGAGTTGAAATAGTTTTTCCTCTACATTATATGCCATTGATACATATTTGTGCTCATATTGTGAACTATTCATTTTATATGCATTTAAAAAAATCACGTAGGTAAAAAAATTTGTCATGCCCTTACATCTCCTGAAACTATGTTTGGTTTTGATAGAAGCCAAATTTTAAGTTATGCTATTCTGAATAATTTAAAATCTCACAAATAACATAATTTTAGTTGGAAATCTCATACTCTCCATGCTGTATATTGTGCTTTGAATGCTTTTTGAGTGGGTATTGCTGTGCAGCTTTATCACTGATTTTAGAAATACTCTTTAGTGACCAGAACTCTGAACAAGAGATTGGTAAATATATGTGATAACACTTGGTTGCTACATCTGAAAGTTGTCATTTTATGTATGCTGTTACTGAAGTGAGCGTTACCACGTACTGCAACTTGCTGTGTAGCCTCCATTCGCCCTATGGAAAATAACTGAACTAGTTTTAGTCAAAATGGCAGAAATCTACTTGGTAACAGTAGCTGGGGGCATAGTGAAGGTCATGTTTGCCAACTGGAGAGAGGCAGGTTCTGCATGTTGCCAAAGGCAAATAAAGGATGTGAATGTAGTCCTTATATTGGGATTTGTTAGACAGGAGTGGATCCCTGTTTCAAAGGGAAGGAGGAAGTACAATAAAATGTGCAGTTTTCAGAACCTGCAGGTTGCATGGCAGTACTGTCATGGCTTTGCGTGCATGCTGATGTAGGAGGGCCATGTGAACAGTAGAGCGCTCCTTGGAGCAGATGCAGCATGAAGGAAGACAGATAAACATATGCAGTGAAGAAACTGTGGAGCGCAGGTATCTGTAAGCTACCATGTTAAGGTATGGGGTGCACACTCACACTTGCAGTTGTAAGGAGCCTGCAGTTTGCGGTGGGAGCGGGATCACTAGAAACTGCAGGCCACAGTGAAAGCAGAGATGGTGCACGGTGGATGGATAAACTCAGAGCTTTTTGGATCGACCTCTGTTGTTTATTTCCAAATCAGTCCCGAAGCAGTGTCTGATACTCAGTTCAGAGTGGCTTCGAGTTCAGGTGGAGGCATCACCTCTCTGCAGCACCTTCCCTGAGGAGCAGAGCCTGCCCCGCCTGCTTGTACTGAAGCCCTGTGGCTGCAGACCCTGGAGTACTAAAACCAGCCTGGGTCATGTTACAATCTAGGTCCACCTTCGACCATGTTGTTCAAGTTACTGGACTTAGTGATTACTTATTAATTATTCCTGCATTGTGCATAAAAAAATCTTGGGTTTATCTGTGATACTGTTTTGGTAGCTGTGAACTGGTGAGTTGTTTAATTGTTCTTGCTAGTGGTTTTTACTTCTGTTCATGAAAATCACTTGCTGTTTAGGTGGCATGCTTATTTAAACTGTATATAAATGCTAAATACATGACACTTGAGTCCTTTCATTTTTGTAGACATAGAAGTCAATATTTAGGAGGCTTACGTCCTTTCATTACAATGCTAAGGCTGATGTCATGTAGCTGTTGTCATTACAGTGTATGACTATAAGAACTGTTGTAGCACTGTGGAGTCGGACAGCCACACTGCTTAGGAATTTAAATATCTTATCAGTGTGGCCAAGAACATAACTACTACTTACAATTTCAGTTGCCTAAGGTTAGTAGGGTTTATATTTTACTGACCTCTCGTCACTCTTTACCTCTCTTTTTTTCACCATCTGTATGGAAAAAAATACAGGTGTGATTATAATTTTTCAGATAGAAATACAGTTCTTCAGTTGTTTCATGATGTTGTATAGATTTTTGTATGCAATTCTTTTGTGAGTCAATGCTGTTTCCACTTTGCTATAAACCTTAAAGATCTTTCAGAAAATCAAAATAATAACTAACTCAGAGAAATATTCAAAACCCATAATAATAAATGTCAGCGTTATCTCCTCTGCTGTACTCTTGAGTAATCTGAACACAAAAAGATAATTAAATATGCCAATGCAAAGAAATAGATTGTCAAAAATTGGTTTTGTTAGTACTTTCATAAAGCTCCATGTTAGAAAGCTGGGAATAAAAAAATTGGAAAAAATTCTGATGCTGTTTTGCTTGATCCTATGTCTTGATCCAGTATCCCATGTAATTTTAAGGAATTGAGGTTATGCACATGAAGAGATGGGTTAAGCATACGAGTGTGACCTAAGCACTCATCCATTTCCATCCCATTATGCTACAGACTTGCTCTCTGTCTTTAGACAAGTTTCTTGATTTCTGTAGTTCAGAATACAGAGCTGTATGCTAAAAATGCTGTTTATCTCTTTATCTGAATTTATGTTGCATATCAATACAGTAGTAATGGGATTGCACAAGGTGTATGGAGTGCTAAAGAATTTAGCACTTCATGTTTTCTTCTCTGTAAAATGGGGTTGATACCTGCTTATTTTACAGAAGTGTCTGTGAGAATTAGTCTGTAAATCCATGGTATTAGCTATTATTAACTTGAGGAGGTGGTGTGATGGGGTAAGTAGGACAGTGGGCCACAGGCTGAAGACCTGAATTCTGTCCTTGAAGCTCTCGCTGACCTATATGCTCTCTGATAAATCTTTTTGCCTCTTCTGTGCTTTAGATTTTTCTATTGTAAAATAGTCAGACCTCACTTGGTGAAAAGCACTGTGATATAAATATCATTATTATGAAAGTAAAAGCTCTGTGTTTCTGAATAAAAGCTATTGTAGAAAACTAAATAGCAGCTTCAGCTGAACATGTAGCAATTACTTTAA